CGAAGCCGAAGCCTTTCTTTCACCCTCCTTGTTGATATTTTACAAGTCCATTGGAAACAAATGAGATTGAACAAAACGATTCAACAAAATGTAACACAGGCACACAAGAAACATAAGCATGATTAGAAAAAATTTGTGACAACATAACGAGAAATAGAAACCTACAAGAAAAACATAGCACAAAAACAAACATTAAAATGCAGTACAGAATTGAGTTATACCAGAGTGCTTGTAAGGAGTTAAGGTTGCAGATATTGTTACTCCACGATCTTTTTTTTACGGTATTTATTTTTGCCAACCTAACAATTACACAAAGTTATTTGCTTCTAAAGAGAAGAGAGTACAAAGCAAATAACAATCATTGCTAACTGTAAAGAGTAATAAACAGAGTACAAAGCAAAAAAAACAAACTTTACTTAGAACAACCATTGCTCACTATAAAGAGTAAACAAGGCAAGAGATTAGAATATCCACACAGAAAACACAAAATAGTCATACAACGATATCGTGTGATGATGAACTGATGGGAACCTAAAACCAAACAAAGTCTCAAGTTATGAAGTACCTAAACACTTACATAAGCTTCACATTCTCAACATGGTTTGTAGAGGAGCAAAGTCTACCACAGTTAAACTCATCCATCCCCTGGATTTCAACTCTTGCAATATTGTTCGTCTCGATATTGAAGTAGAAAAGGTACAAAGGATCGGCTGAGGTTGGATAGCTCAACAATACAAGCTCATTTGTTCGAGTCACTCCAACAAAGTGTACCTTGCATCTTCCAACCATATTCTTCCACAAAGCAGGGAATGAGTATACATGCTCAGACCATTCCTGTTTCTCGAGATCTTCTAGAACCCACAGCTTGAAACTTGTACTTTCTCGAGTAACGTAGGAAGATGACCGATCAGATTGAAGTAAACCAACTTTACCATTGTAGTTCACCAGAGTTCCGTCAAGCACTGCACTACTGAGATCTTTCTTGACATGAATGAAGCTAAACTTCTCAGACCTAATGTCAAAGCAAACTATTAGATAAGTCTCTCTAGACCTACTAACAGATGGATAATACAAAACACCATTGATGCATATCTCTTTATGCGGAGAATAATCATGTGGTACGCAAGAATCGATCATCCTCCATGACATTTTCCCATTTCCTAATGTCAGAACTTGATGCTCCCCACAAATCACATAGCCTTCTCTTCCATAACTTGACGGTGTCATCGACAACACTTTGAACTGTTTACCAATCGGATCATAGCCTAACAAGCTCCTCACCTCAACTCTCCTAGACTTCACTTTAGGTAAAGCTAAGGCTTGTCCTGTGCTAGGGTTACATATCATTAGTACTGTTTGCTTTCTTCCCTTTGAGATACGCTCATATCTAAGACAGATCAAACCACGGACAAGGCCACTAATTCCACATGAACCCTCAAAATGAGCAAGCCGATTGACACATGATTGAGATTGAGACTGGGGTTGCGAGCAGAATAACAAGTCACCTTGGCCTCTGCTCTTGCATTTCAGTCTAGACGTAAATGGGCCGTGTAACCCAAAAATTATATGGTCGTAAA